ATTTAGATGCGAGCAGACCTGCTGCTTGAGAAACATATACAAATGCAGATAACAACATTTAATTGCTTCATTGGCAAGCCGATTTAAGCATAAACAAGTTTTCACTGGAGACTCACGACTCATTTAAACTCAGAGCTAATGAGCAACAAGTTTCTAGCTCTAAAAAAAATCAGTGGGTAGGAGTTTATTTTTTCCCCTGCCTCCTGGAACTAGATATTTGTCACCTGCAATTTTTTGTGGATGTGGATAAAGAATATAAGCTGCTTACTTAGGCTAATGCTCCAGGATTCTTAAATGTGGTTTCTTTCACTCTGCTCCTTTAGCTGCAAAGAGAATTATACAGCAGGTTGAGGTGTCTTTCTTCACTTGGAATTGTATCTGAGAGAAAGAATGAGTGTCAAAACACTAACCTCGATCAGCATTATTCCTGTTTGAGAACCTATAATACTTCAATTTCTAGATCTTAAATGGAAAAAGCAGTTGCTTCTTCCATTTTTGTCTTTAGACATAGGTCTAGGGGGGAAAGGTAGCATTAGTTTCAGGAAAGATTAATCATTGTCATTCTCTTAAATTGTTGCTGAACAAGCTGCTCACTTGGCCACCAAAGGGGTAAGTATTTGCTCCTTCCAGATGGTGGGAGAAAATCTTTAAAGTGGACTGTGCTTATTGTCTTTGTTCTCCCTTTAGATATCAGGCAATATTATTGGTTGCTTGAAGTATCCTAGTTAATACTAAACATTAAGATGTCCAATCACTTCTAATGAGAATGTTAATTTTATTTCTATATTTAAAAAGACCAATCTTGTATATAATCAAGCAATAGACCTGCTATTGCCTGCTATACTTTGAAGTATAATTGGTTCTCATGGATATTGAAATTAATACTTAAAAGTAGGAGAAGCCTAAAATTGAACTATTTTAATTATAGGGTATCATTCTTCACTCAGATTACAGTTGAAAGAAAATAATACCTGATTCTCCTTGGATTTAAGAACAAGTTTAAGGGATAATTCTTTCTCTCAGGGTTGTGTTCCTTTCTGTTAATTTTCAAAGGATATTCACTTTTGGAAAATAAGACAAATTACTGTATTTATCACCTTGGCTAGATGTCCTTTTTCATTTTTTGAAAGAGTTGTATATTTAAAAAATAAACGTGCTTTTTTGATTCAACCCTAAAGAATACTGTGTTGTCAATGAGATATCTGTAATTTATTTACATGTTTCTATGAGGAAAACTTACAGTAGTCTGATTCCCAGAGGTATGTATGATTACGACATAAGGGACGTCAGAAGCTTAAGGCGGCATGTTTGAGAGACAGATTTTAGTTAAAATGTGTAAATACATCATATTGTAAATCTACATTTTCTATAATATTGTATTTTAATTTTTCAGCCTGTGTGATGTGTTTCTATTCTGCAATGATTTTGTAGCTCTCTGGGATAAAGATTTAAGTCACTAGTTTGTAGACTTATGTAAATTGTCAAGGACAATTTGGCTGAAGCAGCTGCTAACAAGAAACAAAATAATATTGCCTTAAAATAATCAAAAAGAAAGTGTTTACTGCCTAATAAGGAAACTTATACTGCTTTTTAAAATTTCAGTTTAGTTTAAATATAAATGTTTTAACTAAAAAATTTCTGTAGACATGCAATTACTTTAGTTTAGATAGACCACAACAGTCGTCCTATGTTCCAGAATAAACTATTCTAGAAACAATTACCTTTATTTCTGTAGGATATATTTTTACAGGTGTTTTATGAGTTTTTATTTGAAGTTTCTTTTCCCTTTTCAACCACCCTACAAGGGAGATATATGTGACTCATGTTTCTTTTCTTTGGTCCATACATCATTTCAGGATCATTCTGCTGAAATCTGAGGCACAATGAATTTCTATGGGTGTATGTGTGTGTGGTATGGCTTAAGCAATAAAATAAATTTATGTTTGATATGCTTAATGTATTTACATTCCTTGACACCCCTATCACATTTCCTCCTAAACACTCCAATTAAAGTACCACTACCTGCAAAAAACATCCTCATTCCTGTTGTACTTGTAGATGATACTCCTGTAAACCATGATCCACAAAAGATTCAGTCAGGCAAATAAGATTGTGAAGAGATAGGGTTGCATACAGAAACTTTCCCTGGCAAACATATAAAAGAAAATGGGTATCAAATATCAGAAGCTGAATGCTTTGAAGGCAGAGAAGCTACCTACTTTTCACAATTGTGCAATTTTTGAAAATTCCACAATAATGAACTGAGAATGACTTGATTGTATTGAATAATAACAATTCTAATTTAAAGTATGTCAAAGCATCTTTTGTTGCAATAAATGCAAGCATAATTGCAGAGGAGGACATGTGTAACAAAATACATGCAGAATATATCTTTGGATTATTTGGCCGGTATTTCAAATCCCTCCTCCACAAGTGGAGCTACTTTCTTTCTATATATATATATATATATGAAGTGCAGCTCCCTCTTCATGTTTGGACTGTGTTCTGCATCTGAGTTCTGCAACTGTGTAGAGTCAACTCCAGGTATGTGAAGTCAGCTCCAGCTATATATGAGAATGAGGATTATGGCTTTTGAAATGGTTGTCTAGACAGATGAATGCATTAAGTATTCAGGGTTCCCTAATTTATCAGTAATTCCTTTAAATGGATAGATGTTTTTAAAAGTACTTAATTTTGAAATGCAAAACTTCCGATGAATTTATTTTTAGTCTGTCATTCTACCAATACTATAGGTTCTAAATCCAGGCAGTATAATTTCTGTGTTGTTAGTTTGGGATTCCTTCTTTTTACATGCACTCTTCCACTATCTCAGTTGAAAGCTTCTATATATTTTCTTAGTATATGGTATCACTGAGCTTGAAAGGCAATATAGTTTAAAATTTTCCTGTACTGTACAGGATATGGTATTTTTTCAGCAATAATGCCTGATTTTTGTTCATTGTGTATTGCTTTGGGTAGCCTTTAGTGAAGGAACTAATATTCAATACATAAAGTCAGAATTGTAATGTGTAATTAGATGATTGCTAATGAATGGAAAAAAGGACAGAAAGCAATCATCTAATAAGTACTGGTACAAAATCAATGAAGTAATGTCCACCGGGGATTAAAATGCTGATTTGCAATTCCAGGTAATCCTTGAGGTATGACAGGTCATTTAATGATTGTTCAAAGTTACAACATAACCCCCACCTTATCTTCTCCCCCACCGTCTTCTCCCCCACCGTCCTTCCCACTTTCTTAGAAGCAGAAAGTCACAGGTCTAATCTAGAAGGGAAACACTGTGCTGAACTATTGAAAAGTGCAGGTGGTGGTCATTCACTCTGTTTCTGCTTCTCCAGGTCTTTGATGGGGGGTTTCTTCTGGAGTAGAGGCAAAGAGCCTCTTCCACTGAAGATTTCTCTGTGTTTTCTAATTTTCCTCAAGAGCAGAACAAAAAAAGACTTTCCTGTGAAGGCTTTTCCATGTCTTTATTCTGATTTTCTTCTGGACTGGAACAAAATCATCTGGTGGCAGGCCTTAAATAAAACAATTCCACACTTATTTTACTCAGTGTGTGGCCCACCCATTATTTAATTACCACTTCTGTGTCTGCCTCTTTCCCAAACTGTACACCTCTCTCTCTCTCTCTTTCTCTCTCTCACACACACACACACTGGTCCATGGAAAAATTGTCTTCCATGAAACCAAAAAGGTACCAAAAAGGTTGGGAATCTCTGAATTAGACCATGCAGGGTCCCTATAAGACAACCCTTTTAAGGATTATGTATTAATAGAAAAGCAACTAACTTAGCTGAGTTCCTAAATGCTAAAGGTGTTGCACATAAAAAACAGGAGCACTGATCAACTATCACAGTTACCATTTTGACAGTTTTGCTGTACTGTTGTCTGTTAATGCCCCCACTAAATGCAAGCATGAGATAAACAGCCTGGTTTGTTTTCAGTCTTTCAAGTGGCCACAAAGCAAAAGTGGCATTTGATCACAAGGCAAGGAGGCATTGAGAAGTGTTTTTCCTTTTGCATTTGAGCCTCCCAAGAAGGGATGGGAAAGAGGAAAGAAAGAAAAAGAAGGAAAGAGGGGAAGAGAACAAGGAAGGAAAAAAGGAAAGGGGAAGGAAGAAGAAAGAAAGAAGAGGGAAGGGAAAAGGAAGGATGGAAGGAAGGAAAAGGTCCCCCCAGTCCACCACAGGCATCCCCCCGACCTGAGTGACGTTGAACTGGTCACTCCCACAATGGCCCCATCTGGCCATCTGAGGTCCACCACAACCCTGATGAAATTGAGTTTGACACCCCTGATTTACACTGAGAAGGGAAGCAAAACCGCAGGATTTCTTCTCGATTGTGCCATGTGGCCTTCTGGATATCTTCAAAAGATAAGTATTGGATTATGACATGGTGTCTGGAGAAGGCCCATAGGTCTTTAGGGAATCAAAGGGGCAGGGTGGGGGAGGACTCCCAGATGCACCTGTGCCAGCACTAGGCCTCCCATAGTTTTCCTCATCCCCAAGTCACCCCATGCTCTACCTAATTTGACCCGTGCAATCATTTAAGGAACATCAGAGAAAGCAGGGACAGGGAGGTTATTAATTATATGCTTCATTTAACATAAACCTTGACTCCTGACATGAATGGGACATATGACATTACTGTCATATGTTGAGGACTACCTGTAATATGTCGAGTTCCACCATAAAGCCTTGAATGGTTTATTCTTGAGGCCACCAAGCTCCATGAGACAATTTGTGTGTATGGTACAATTTCAGTTGGTATTGAATATTCAGAGCCCTCTTTATTGTATTAGTAAATGTAAAGACATCTTTACAAAGAATTTAAGATAAAATTCATCTTAATATTTAAGGCAATGCTAATCTTACAAAGCATTGAGTAAAATCTAGGAATGCCATTCGTGCAATCCATCAAAGTTCTCTTTGTTTCCAGATAACTCCTTTTGTACTAGGTTGCTGTTAAATGGGCAAGTGAAGATGTTGGTGCTTAACTGTTCCACAAAACTGCAGATTCTAGAACAAATGTTAAAGAAGTGTTTTCCTGAATCCCTCAAGGTAATGTAGATAATTCAAGATAAGATATTAAAATACATGAAAAGAAAAAAAGATCAAATCAAGCCATTTTTATTTATTTGTCACATGTATATAACCACTCATCTAACATAGTGATTCTGGGCAGCAAACATAATAACCATTATTCTCAGGAGGCAGAGAATAGATGGGGGTGGGGCCAGTCAGAGGTGGCATTTGCCGGTTCTCCAAACTACTCAAAATTTCCGCTACCGATTCTCCAGAACTGGTCAGAACCTGCTGAATATCACCTCTGGTCTTATGAGGGTTTAATTGATATCTGCTGTTCCCCATCAGTTCTTAACAGCTTCTAGAAATCAAAATAGGTAGGACATCAACAGTGTCAATTCATTCACTAGGGATGAAGATAAGCAGCTGGTGTAATAACATATATCATTGCAATGGATGACCTAACCCAGCAGCTTCATTTACATGTCAAATAGGAGTAGAGAGTACTGAACTCTGCAGCATCTAACAAAACGGGCCAGGAGCAGGAACTGTTGCGGTGTTGGGCTGTAGGGCAGCAGGGCCAGTGGGGGGCAGCAGAGTATAGAGACAGCCCATAACTTCAAGGACTAAGTTTAAGTATCATTTGTTCAGCACTATTGTAACTGCGGTCACTAAACAAATGTTAATTAAGTGAGGACCAGTGGTGGGCTGCTGCCGGTTTGGACTGGTTCCAGTGAACCGGTAGTTGCAACAATCAGCTGGCCCTGCCCCTGCCCGATCCTGTCTTACATTTCCTTCTTTTGCAGCTCAGCTGATTCACACGGCACAGTGGATTACCGTGCCTCAGCTGTTCTAATTACCAGGGAAGGCTAGAAGGTGAGCTGGAGAAGTTCAAATTGTTCTTTACTGAATGCTGTGTGCATGTGCAAAGTGTGCATTAGCATGCGCTCACAGAACCAGTTGTTAAACCAGTTGCAGACCACCACTGGTGAGGACTACCTATATACAAGGCCTTCCGATGCATGTACATACTGATAGTTTTCAACTTGCAACCAGTTGCTTAATGACCATTTGAAATTATGACAGACCCTGAATGAGTGCCTTATTGCTTGTAAAACTTCTGGTTGTCATAAAATGTGCCACATCCCATCTTTCCACCATCCTCCCATGACTGCATTTTGGGTGCTTGGCAACCGGCTTACCTTCATAACATGTTGCAACATCCTGTGGCCGTAAGACCAGTATTTGCATTTTTTTTGCCAGTTTCCGGTATTTTTGGTTGGTTTCTGGCAACAAACATTTGCACTTTCAACAGCAGCATCGACAGCAGCATTCACTTACCAGTCACAGATTTGCTTAATGACCGTGACGATTTGCATAATGAATGCTGTAAAAAATGTTGTAAAATTGGGTCTGTTTGCATGGGTTCCTCAACTTAGCATTGTAATGACTTACAAGTGGAAATCCAGTCCAGTTGCATTGTAAGTTGATGACTACCTGTCTCTATATATTAGGTTTTACATAAGAGTTCTAGTAAAAGGACACTATCTCATTGTACACATCCCTAAATAAGTCTGTAAGCAATTCATTTATAAGTTGCAAATAGCACTGGGGTTTCACTGATGCTTTTGGGGGAATAATTTTGGGGAGAGGGAGAGTGTAAATTTATTTTCCTGATTTTGAAAGACTAGTCCATACACAGCTAATACAGAATCCATTTCTGTTGGTCAGCTGCCTGTTTCCATTTAATAGGTACATAATTAAAAAGAATATGGATGTCAAAAAATGTTAAACTATAGTAAAGTCAGTATTGTTTTCTAGAACACAAAACCTTAGTTTCAATGTTTGGATAAAATATTGCTCTTATTATATCTACAGCAGGATAATTAACTTACTCCTTTTCTGAACAAATACAATCAAAATCTGGAAATTATAATCAATTCTTTTTTGTTGAATAAACTGTAATTTAAGATCTATTAAAATTGTTGACAGCAATGCTAGAATTTAGAGCAATTTTCCATTGTTTAAACAAAATGAAAATCTAAATGCTTTTCCCATTCATTTGACTTTGTCTTGTAACATTTAATAGTTGTTTCTAATACTTTAAGTGTCTAAAGCTGAAAATGCTGCTAGTCTGAATGAAGATGTCAATAAATGTTGAAGTTGGAAATAGTGCCAATTAGTGAAAGCTTTGAGAACATGCAAGAACTTAAAGAAACAAATTTTTAAAAGTGTTTTTGTTTAATAAAACTTTGTAAGCTCACCTTTTTTTTGAAGGTTTATGGAGCAGTGTTGAATATAAACAGGGGAAATCCATTCAAAAAGGAAGTGATTGTGGATTCATGGCCAGAATTTAAAGCTGTGATTACTCGCCGACAAAAAGAGGTAAAGCAGTACTTGTAAAGGATCTATCCTAAATACCCTGAAATGCACAATGAACATTGGAGGCATTAATCTAAAATTTATACAGCTGTTCCTGAGTTGGTGTATTCCAAAAATGTGGGATGTTGTTCTATATTAACGTGTAGAGTTACAAAATTCAATGTCCTGGCTACTCTTGCTTTCATTTTTATTCTACTTTGCTTTTATGTCAAAACTGTGGTTGTCATTGGTTATCTTAACTATGTTTTCAAGGAACCAACCAATTTCTAAGTAATGATTGTTTCTCTAAATCAGGAGCGGACAACTGTTTGGGTCTAAATGCAACTCTGATTGCTGGGTAGGCACCAAGCACTTCATTTAGAATGTAGCTGTAAAAAAAAAAAAAAGAGCTTTTAGGGAAGAGGCTCAGCAAAATCAATTGGAGAAATTTTAGAGAAAAGTGAGAAAGTCAGTGAGCTAGGGACTGTGGTTTACCTACCCTTCCTCTAAACTATAATTAATTTTAATTGACATTTCAGATTTAGTTATAATAATAAGTAGAACTGAAAGTGGAAATGAAAAGTTCTGATAGCCTCTGAGAAGATCAAATCAATAATACCAAACATAACATTGAAATGAAATAAGCAGAAAGTGGTGAATGTGTTATCTCTATTGTACTGTAATTCCTAAAAAAGGAAGATTATACTCATTGTGGCCCTTAACCATCTTTCTAAAGGCCTGCTTTTCCTAAGGAAAATGGTGGACTTCCTTTCAATTGTATGATCTCAAGCAAAGTCTAGGTAGACATTTGTTGAAGTTATTTTTATTTGGTCCCTGCATATAGAGTAGGGTTGAATTCAGTGGCTAGTGGCCATTTCAATTCAATTGTTTTGTTTTATGTAATGTATTACGTGAATGCAGTCCAGGCAGCATAGGAAAAGGATTGCAGTGGCTCTCTTAACCATTTTCCAGATTGAAAGTAGTTTGTTTTTCCTTCCTGAGCCAAGAAAACTCCCAACTGGTATCCTAGCTGCAGTTCCTTGTATGTTTTCCCAGTAATCTGCATCTAGTCAGTGCCCTGATCTGCAGACCTCCTCATTTCATTTTTATGACCTTGACCCATAGCAACAAATTAGGCGCATATCTGCATACATAATATTTTGAATTGAATTAAGATATTGCTTTTTTCACACATAGTCCAAAAGTGATGCCCTAGACTACTTTACAAATGCCTGTGCTGTTTTCTACAAAAATCTGCAAGCTTACCAGGCACTGTTGGAGAACCCAGAAGCTATAAACTGGGAGCAAGCCTTCCAGATACAAGGTAAAAGTTTTCTTTGCTGTGAAAAAGAACACAGTAATGATTATCCTGAATTTTTAAAAATATTTTAAAATGAGAGGCTGAAAAATTCTGGTGGTGCAATGCTGAGAATTTCAACAGTGAGTCATGAATCGTATATGATGTCAAAGTCTTTCTCCACTCATTTTTTACACCAATATGCTTAATTATACCATCTATTATCCCAGACTATCCCAGAGTCTACCAAGTGAGAAAAGCTGCTTCAAATAGAATAATAATAACACTGATAATACAGGTAAACCAGATACTTAATAGGTTTCTGTTTTTTCATCAGTCTTTTATGATGAGATGTTTCTCCTGAGAGAAACAGTTTCTCCTGAGAGAAACAGAAGGTAACTGGAACAAGTAAGCAACTTTTTTTGATTCTCCAAGTGCAGGAACCATATCATTTCTCATATGAATCTTGTTTAGCAAGCAGAGTAATGTGGTTGGATTGGAGCTCCTTAGAAGCACCATTTTCTTCTCTAAATTACCTGATATAACTTTAAACTTATACTATTTTGATTCTAAACAGGAGGAAAGCTTGTGAGGACCAATGGCATGCTTCCTTGGCATGGAGGATCTTTTTCTTTATTATCCTTGTCAGAACATTAAAATCTTGTTCTGACATTTTAAAATTTCTAAGGCACATGGGAAAAATATAGGATAGCATACAGGTGAAACTCGAAAAATTAGAATATCGTGCAAAAGTTCATTTATTTCAGTAATGCAACTTAAAAGGTGAAACTAATATATGAGATAGACTCATTACATGCAAAGCAAGATAGTTCAAGCCGTGATTTGTCATAATTGAGATGATTATGGCTTACAGCTCATGAAAACCCCAAATCCACAATCTCAGAAAATTAGAATATTGTGAAAAGGTTCAATATTCTAGGTTCAAAGTGTCCCACTCTAATCAGCTAATTAAGCCATAACACCTGCTAAGGGTTCCTGAGCCTTTAAATGGTCTCTCAGTCAGGTTCAGTAGGAATCACAATCATGGGAAAGACTGCTGACCTGACAGTTGTGCAGAAAACCATTCCCTCCATAAGGAGGGAAAGCCTCAAAAGGTAATTGCAAAAGAAGTTGGATGTTCCCAAAGTGCTGAATCAAAGCACATTAATAGAAAGTTACGTGGAAGGGAAAAGTGTGGAAGAAAAAGGTGCACAAGCAGCAGGGGTGACCACAGCCTGGAGAAGTTTGTCAGGAAAAGGCCATTCAAAAGTGTTGGGGACTTTCACAAGGAGTGGACTGAGGCTGGAGTCAGTGCATCAAGAGCCACCACACACAGACGGATTCTGGACATGGGCTTCAAATGTCGTATTCCTCTTGTCAAGCCACTCCTGAACAACAAACAACATCAGAAGCGTCTTACCTGGGCTAAAGAAAAACAGAACTGGTCTGTTGCTCAGTGGTCCAAAGTCGTCTTTTCTGATGAGAGCAACTTTTTCATCTCATTTGGAAACCAAGGACCCAGAGTCTGGAGGAAGAATGGAGAGGCACACACTGCAAGATGCTTGAAGTCCAGTGTGAAGTTTCCACAGTCTGTGTTGATTTGGGGAGCCATGTCATCTGCTAGTGTTGGTCACTGTGCTTCATTAAGTCCAGGGTCAATGCAGCCGTCTACCAGGAGATTTTGGAGCACTTCATGCTTCCTTCCACAGACAAGCTTTATGGGGATGCTGACTTCATTTTCCAGCAGGATTTGGCACCTGCCCACACTGCCAAAAGCACCAAACCCTGGTTCAGTGACCGTGAGATTACTGTGCTTGATTGGCCAGCAAACTCGCCTGACCTGAACCCATAGAGAATCTATGGGGCATTGCCAAGAGAAAGATGAGAGACATGAGACTGAACAATGCAGAAGAGCTGAAGGCCACTATTGAAGCATCCTGGTCTTCCATAATACCTCAGCAGTGCCACAGGTTGATAGCTTCCATGCCACGCCGCATTGAGGCAGTAATTGCTGCAAAAGGGGCCTAAACCAAGTACTGAGTACATATGCATGCTTATACTTTTCAGAGGTCTGATATTGTTCTATGTACAATCTTTATTTTATTGATTGAATGTACTATTCTAATTTTCTGAGATTGTGGATTTGGAGTTTTCATGAGCTGTAAACCATAATCATCTAATTATGACAAATCACGGCTTGAACTGTCTTGCTTTGCATGTAATGAGTCTATCTCATATATTAGTTTCACCTTTTAAGTTGCATTAATGAAATAAATGAACTTTTGCACGATATTCTAATTTTTCGAGTTTCACCTGTAGGTATTTTGTTAACACAGAAATAAAGGAACAAAATAATTTAAAAATGAGATTTGCTTATATCTACAGTTTATCTATATCCCATCAATAGTAGCCCACCCTGACCTTAAAATGATTCCTAATCCTATTGTCCTAACAGTTATCACAGGATGGAATGGTCATTCTTCCTTAGACCTGCCCTTCCCAAATCCTACTTGTTTTCAGCTGCTGGAATATAAACTGAGAGGAGGTGCCCAGTGTTGTTATCCGTTGACTGGTAACTTCAGCATCCCAATCATCACAGAGACTTAGCACCATGAAGGTGCCTCTTCCTTTTCCTCTGTTTCCTGACATTCTTTCTATTCAGCCAAAGCTATAATGAGATAAAATGGCTGAGATTTGATAAGATCACTTCTTGTGCTTCATTACTATTCCTTGGCCAGCCTCAAAGGAAGGAGAAGCAGAGAATATTTTCTCCAGTGTGCCTCCATGGCTGTCCTTTCTAGCTTCCAACAGGTCCTTCTGACTGCCTCTTCCTATAATAAGTCAAGGAGAGAAACACATACCTCTGAAATTCTGCCACTATGCCTAAATTGACATCTAGTGGTACTGAAAGCAAAGAGAAGATAAGACCAATAGGCTTAGAGAAACCTTGCTGGGAAATGAAAGGAGTGTTATGCTCAAGTGGCAATGAGTACTGCTCTATATAATAATCCCTCTGAAATTAATTATAGATCCCTACTCCCAGAAGAATTTATTTATTTATCAAATTTCTACACCTCCCAGCTTATCTAAGTGACTTTGGGGTGTTTGCAAATGACATATACTAATAGGTGGTAGCCTATGTCACAGATTCTTCAAGGGATGACAAAATACACATTTACAAGATAACCTTTAAACCTAGGTGAGTTATTACTTTTAAGCAATAACTGATAAAAGAAAAAGTGATAAAAGAAAAGTGAACTCCAATAAGTTTGCATTTATTTTTATCAATAGATTTAATTTTGTATTAATATAGTAGATTTCTTAATCTTTGCTTCCAGTGACTATTGCTTCTATTCTTAACTTTAAGTTGATACTTAACTTTGTGTACAAATAATTAAAAGAAAGGTCAATAGTACCCTTCTGACACTCTTTGGAGTTCAGTTCTTTTCTCTACTTCAATTCCCTGTGTAAAGAACAAGCTTAAGCCTCTTTCCACTCATATTTATATAACACATTAATGGGCATTTTCTGCTCTAGACTAATTGAATCAGCATTCTTCTATACTCCTTGGACAATACCACGTACCACCAAGACTAACAGCTTCATTTTTATCAAACAAGAGTTTCCTCAGAAATTCCCCCACTTCCAACAATATGTGGAATATTTGTGGGTAGGCTTTAACATTATTTTTTCTTCCTTTTCTGGTGAATAGGCAAGCTATGGAATATGATGTTGTCCTGCCTATTTCTGATGAGCCATTCTTGCTTCCAACTGAATTTTAAAGAATTCAGTCTACTTTCTTTAAGATCTGATCACCTTCTCTTTTGTACACCCCGTTATCTTTTCCAAATCTGGCAGTTACTGTTAGCGTATAGGTGCACACGATGATAAAAATTGAATGTGAACCAATCCAACTGGATAGTTTTCCACAGCAGTTTCCTTATTTAGCTGGAGAGTCCATCTCCAGTACAAACATTCCAGGAAACATGCAATTTTTATTTGAAATAGATATTAATTGACAGAATGACAATCGGTTTAGCACAATACCACTTTCAATATGGCAATGGTCAACTGATAATTGTATGCCAAGTGCATTTAACCCCAGCAGAGTCCTCCAAGGTATAAATGTTGTTGCAGCTGCCTGGCTAAACAGGCACTTATATTGGGCAGCAGCTAGATAAAGGATAAGGGAGTGGCTCCATTAGCAAAGATCAGTCTGCATAGCAATATCAAAGGAAGGAAAGCAAAAAAAATTAGAGTAATCACCAGCAAAATGAATGGACTTGATTATAGCGGTAATGGGCACACTGTGGGAAAACCTGAAGCACTAAATTAGGGACAGATTGTCATGGACAAAATCTGTCTGATCTCTAAGAATTGATTGTGACTTAGTGGCAAATAATTGATTGAATGTTCTTGTGAATGACTATTTCGCTGGATTTCTTTCTGTCATGTGTTAGGTGCCCCTAAGATGTTTCTGGCAAATAAGAATGAATTTATTACTTGAGTAATCCAGCATGTTTTGTATTCACAACCATGTATACACTTATACTTATTATCTTGTAAACAATTGGCAAATCAAATAAATAAATAAATAAAAATAAATAAATAAATGTTGATACCAATTTGACTGCAGATTTGGTTTCATAAACTTGAATTCTTTTTATTTTTATTCATTCCAAAATAGTTTCCAAAAATGTCCAAGTATTTTAAGCAAGATTGCAATATTTGTAGTTTTATAGATCATTAATAGTTTTGGTTATATTTAAAGATGGTGTTTTGTTTAGATGCTTTATTTAAAATATAATTTTTTTTTGAACATAGGTTTACAGGATGGCTTATACAAAACTTCCAGGACTATTGCTGATGCGAAGCATGTCAATGTGAAGTTGTCTTCTTTCAAAATGGTAATCTACCCTGACCCAGATGCACTTCCAGATGTTCAACTTCCGTATGTCTAACTGTATTATTACAGGTTTTTTTAATAGAAATGGTCCTTTTCAATAAATATCAAAGTACAATTTTAATGTATGAAGAGTGGATATAAAAGTTTGCCCCTATTACCCCAGTAATTTCTGAAATTCTCTGGAGAATTTTTAAGTTTAATAAACTTACTCTGAAGGTTGTAATTATCTGTTTGGGTGGGGGGAAAGGAAGACTCCAGAACTGAACATTTTTCTCCCCGTTTGCCCTATTGAACAAATTATGTCTTAAAAGTCCTACTTTTGGGTATTTCTTTGCGAACATAAAATGATTCAATTCCCCCATGTGTTCCTATATTTATTTATCCTAAGTTTTTACAGTAAATGTTAAGCAAATAACTTTTTTAGGTTAGTTCCTGCACCCAAACTGACATCCCTTGATGCATCTCATGCAAGTCTGCTGAATAACACCTGGTCCCGAGGAGGAAGTGACCAATGCCTGAAATACCTCATCAACCTCATTTGCTGTTTCCCCAGCATGTGCATTTTGGATGAACATGGATGCCCCATCTCCTGGGGTCTGACAGACCAATTTGCTACTATGATCCATGGTTATACATTGCCCAAGCATCGTAGGAAAGGGTACAACCGTCTCATTGCAACAAATCTAGCTAAGATGTTACACAGCAAGGGCTTTCCTGCTCAAGGAAATGTTCTGGAGGATAACTTACCACCATTAACTCTGCTAAAAAGCATGAATGCCAGATTCTTACCTTGTCAGTTTGTCAGACTTATCCACACCCCTTTCTGCCTTTTAGATAAACCTGAGTGAGCTTAGTGGATTTTTTTTTTTTTAATCTATGATGGTTGGAAAATGTAGCTACCTAATTTGGGGAATCAAAGTTGTATTTGATGTTATACACATTTGAATGTGTTATAATATAGTTAGACATAATCTTGAAGTCCATTTATGAAATGGCAATGCTATTCCACAATAAAGTGAATGCAACTTTTAAAGGAGCAACAGTTATTTTCAAGCTTAGACAGAAGCCTGATAAGAGATCTTAAACAAATAAGAAGGTAGTACTCAATTGGAAGCACTTATTGATAATTGTTTTCATAGAATGCAAAGACTTTTTAAATTCACCAACTCAAATTATTCAATCTTCTCCATATTACTAACCAAACCCTTTGAATTTTGTATATTCTTTGATTCTTGTATATTCTTTGAATCTACATAAATGTGATGAAATATACCGTGTTTCTCATATAATAAGGCCGGGTCTTATTTTTTTTGAGCCCCCCCAAAATGGCTAGGTTGTCTTTTCGGGGGTGACTTAATTCCCCCTCCTTGCATCTTCGGGCGGGCGGCGACAGCTTAGATGTTGACCTCGGCGTTGGTGGGGCACTTCGTATCGGGGTCAACGCAGGCAGCACCATATCCGGGTGTGCAACAAAAGTACTTCCTAATGGCAAGCCCCCCCACCATTCCCCCCCATTTTGCATGTTTTAATATAGGCCTTAATTTGGGGGGAGGGGCTTAATTTCATTTCTTTTTTTTTAAACAAATTTTATTAATTTTTAAAAGCATACAAAACATACAAGATAAACATAAAACCTTTTTTCTAAAAATTTCTAAAAATTATTTGAAAGTTTGACATTAACACATTTCCTTACAATCACATATTTTCCCTTTCTAACTTGCTTTATTTTCTTCTATCTTTCTCTCCATTGTCCTTTTCTAACCTTTCTCCAAGGTTTTATTAACTCATTCAAACATAAACACATAAGAACACAAAACATATAAACATAAAAAAAACCACCATCTTTTCTGAAAGTTGCTTAATCCCGGGTCAAAACTCTTTGTACAGACACCAACTCAAATTCATATTCATTTTATATGCCATTCCATATCATTATTACCACTTTCAATTTTATATATAGCTTCTTCTCTCTCTTAGATTCTCTTAATTTTATTTTATTTATCTCATCTCAATTCAAATCATAATATTTATTATTCTTTGTCTGTTTATTTCCAGCTATCGATTTATCTTTCTTCTTTAAAAAAAAGCTTCTCCTGTACACTAATTGGAGTATGACGCCTTTACCTCTTTCCCCTACATTTATAATACTTAATATAAAATACCTAACTTACATTGGGATTCTATTTGGTACATTCTAAAATTGTACAATATTATCATTACCAATACTAATCTATTCATTAATATTCATATTATTTTATATCATAAACACTTAGCACATTACTATTCAATTAATTAACATACTTTTGTGGGAGCACCTACTTTCCATAATTATTCCCCCCCACGTCACATATTTTAAATCATTATTTCATTAAGGTATTCCTGCTTCTCCTACTTCAAATCTCTTTCAAAAAAAAATTTCCACTGAAATAACACAATCTGATTTATATTGACATTCATTTGTATCTTTCTCTCCAACTCCTTTATATCTTAACCATTTTATCCATTTCAATTAAATAACATGCCTTTTGGGAATACTTATATTTTCCACCATTATTCCCCCCCCCCCACACACATCATATCTCAAATCCTTATTTCATAAAATGTTCCCCTTTTCTTAAGACAAGTTTCTCTAAGTTATATTAAACATTTTATCACACTTTAAATTACACCTTATTTCCAACTTTCTAAAATTATTTCTAAATACAAATATAAAAAACAATCTTATGTACCTTTAGAATCCCTTTATCAATAAAGTTTACCCATTATCTCTAAAAAACTCTTGTTTCTTTACATCTTGCTCTCTACTATTGAGGCTTCTCGTCCCCTTTCTCCCTTGCTTATTCTTCTCTCTGTCCTCTTTACCCCTTTGCCTCTCCACCTCCCTTTTTCTCTGCTTTCCTCCTTTCTGTTGTCTTCTAACATAATATCTCTTTTTCATCTTGTTTTTCTCTTTTTTGATTGCTTTTATAGGTCTTAAAGTCTCTTTTTCCTTTTTCTCTTTCTCCTTTCCTTCCCCAGCCAAAGTCACTTGTTCATCAAAAATGGCTTCTTCTTTGTCCCAGTCGTCCTGTTGTCCATTCAATTTTACATAAGTGTAGACTGCCATTTCTAAATACTGAAAAAGAGTATCAAAAACATCTTTCCCTTCTTGCTTTTCTTTCTCATATTTTTGATATAAAAGTTTCAATCTGTCCACAAGTAATGCCATTATAAAGAGAAAAAGTTTTCCCAAGCAACCACCCAAGTGCTTTTAATCAGAGATAATTCTCAAAAGTAGTAAAATCACCAAGCAATCCAAGTAGGTTAATTCTTTTAAGCACTTTCTCCTTCACTTTCTCTTTCTGGGATTGGAGTTTGATCACAAAGTTCCATTTAATATATATCTTTCAGAAGCCTTGTTAGTATTTATAGCTCTTTAAAAATCCAGGCAGTCTTCTCCTTATTTTCAAATTCTAATCCAATTTTTCCCTCTCCCTTCCCAATCACAGCAAAAAAAAAAAAAAAAAAATTTAAAGTATTTTTTTTTTAAAAAAAACACCATTCAGAAATCCTTATCTCTTCAGTATTTAATTACCTAGATTTTCAGATTTCTCTTGTTGTTCCATCCGCTGTCATGTTAGGAAGGAGAGTGAAGAAAAAAAAAAACAACTTTCCCTTTTAGAATTCTGTGCGCCGCTTGCAACTCTCTCTGGAAACAATGTAGCAACTTCTCCGTAGCAATTTTCAAGCCCCAGGAAACTTTCTTATCCCTTGGCAACTTTATCCCGGTCCAGAAACAACTCTCACAATTTCTCCGATTTTCTTCCTCCTGCACAATCTTATCCGTTTGCAGGTTTCTTCATGACGGCCATTGCTGACCGCCGCTCCTCTGCCTCGGGAAAAGGGGGTTTTTCTGGCTGGGGAGGGGGTCTGCGACACCCCTTGCCCCCTTTCCAGATCCCCCTGTCTTCAGCTGCCCCTGCAGGGCAGCTATATCCCCCAGATCCAAACGGATCGGGGGAACCTTGGCAGTGAGCTCGGCAGGGATCGCGCTGGATCGCAAATCCCTGCCGCTGCCGAAGCCTCGCAAACCGGAAGGGGGCTTAATTTCATTTCATGCCTATAAAACATGTTGGGACTTCCTATTGGGGGAGGCCGTATTGTTGGAGAAACAGGGTAGTAAGGAGGTGGATCCCCAAGAGAGAAGGGATGCATTTCAGAGGAATAAGAGGCAACTCAGTTCAGATTCTGTGTGTATGAGAAATAGGGTGAAAATAATTCTTCCCTTTGCAGAGTATATTGTATACAGATAGTAGTGTGCTTAGTGTGGCAAGATCTTGTGTAGATCATTACAATTTAGGTTTTAAACAACATATGCAACCTAAATAATATACAGAGCCAGTTTAGTTTAGTGATCAAGGTACCAGGCTAGAAAGCAGGAGATCATGTGTTCAAGACCCACCTCAGCCATGAATACCACATGGGTGATTTTGGGCAAGACACACACTCTCAGGCCAAACCACCTCACAATTGTTATTGTGGAGAAAATAGGAAGAGGCAGATGTATTGCAAATGTTCACCAAATTGGGTTGTTTATAATAATAAAGATGGGAGACAAAAAAATAAATAAAAAATAAATATGGAATTATGTTGTCAGATTTTACCTCTGTCAAAACAAAGCCATTTCAAAGGCTGAGAAAATGCCTTGTTACGATTCTTTTCTGTTGGATTAACAACACAAGTTTTGTAAAGTATGAGGGGGAGAGTCCAAAAACAGAGGTGAGGTCCAGATCATCTTTAGATGTTTCTGGGGGTGGCTAGAAGTAAATCTTTGAAAGAGGTTGATAAAGAAGAGGAAGAGCTCCATTTCAACAAGGTTCTTCTTAGCACATACTCTCTGACCTGGAAGAAAACATACATGGCAAACAGGTGGCTTTATTGCTTTCTTAAAATATTTTAAACTATAACTTCCCAATGTTACATTGTCCCAAATGAATAATTATATTCTTAAAGATTCAAATGCTAGAATATATATATTCTTAAAATATGTTAACCTAGGAATCTATCTTAGTACATATATTAATGTAACTATTTTTACATTTTCTTCCTTTACACAGTCATAAGCAATTTCAACCATCTATTCAAGGTTGAGATAAACAGAAAAAAATTCATCCTACTAACAAAGATTTTTCTTTGAATAATTGTTGTGGCATATTTAAACAAATGCAAACACCAAGTTAATGTCCTTTTTATAGATTTTCATAGACTCCTTAGAATCAGCCAGGAGCATATCAGTTAACTGGATAACCTGATTAATTGCTAAAATTTATATCAGCATCAATATATTTTGGCAAAGAACATTCATAGTTATTAATCATCAGGTTTACCTTTAACATTGTCTTATAAGGCCTGTTCACATCCATTGAGTGCAGATTTCCCAAAATCAACATGGTTCTGGGTCCAGGTAGAAGATTTTGGGAGCTGTTACTCTGGAAACTACCCATTTTGAAAAGGAATATAACCATAAGAATAAATAGTAATCATAATAAAACGTCCAATCCAAGCCATTTCCTTTTAGAACGCAACACAGTGGGGACGTAAAGAGTTGTCTCCAAAGGATATGTGAGGCATGCAGCTTCCCTTATATCAGGGTAGTGTGACCCTGATTATGTTTTTTGATGGGTGAAATTCTTTCTGGCCGATAACCTTCCTAAATGCCTTTGTTCAACCTTTCTCTACCTGGCTGGTCCTTGAATGGGGGAGGGGGGATGCTAGGTCTGCCACTTGGTCTTATGAGGCCAACAATAACTTCCCCTCCTGGATGCTAGGCAACACCACTTTCCCTGCCTGTGACTCTTCCAACTGAATC